AAATGTACCCTGCTTAAAGCACCTCAAAGCCTGATGAGGATCCTGTATCTATTGCTTCCCCAGGTTAGCAGTTTTGAAAATCTATGCAGAAAATGGAATTTCCCCTTAAAGTAACCCACTAACCTTCCAGAACACTGCAGTGATGCTACTGCAAGGTGACAGTTCTTGGAGCATTGCCGAAATACGGAAGCATTCACAAGGGAGGGACTGCACTGTTGCTATTCATGCAGATTTACAGTGGCATAATCCAACCTAAAAAGCCTCTGAATAAAGACAAAATTGCCAAGTGTGCCCAGCTGAAAAACAGAAAGCACATTTTATCTTAGCTTAGAACTGTGGACATCATTGCCTGGCAGTGTTTGCAGTAATTCCACGTCCTGTTTATTAAATAAAAGAAAAAAAATCCCTGATGACAGTTCCCCGGTGTGTTCTAGTCTTTTCTACATGGAAGGCCAGACAGAGACCTCTGGGTATTTAAAAAAGGTCGTCCTCAGCTTCAGCAGATATTGAGGTCAACTGCTCAGCTATTATTTATGTCCATTCCTCTCAAAGTAGTGAAATACCTGTCATCACCAGGCTGGATTTCAGCTCTGTAGAGGGCAATTATCAAAACCTAAACATCAATCTGTTAGAACTTAAACACCACTCTGTCCTCATAGCAAACTGACGTGACTTTTCTAACTCTCCTCCAAATGCCCCATTTTCAGAAAATTTAAACCTTATGCAAGTAAGATCCAATTTTCAGAATATTTTACCATACTCTGAGTCTATGCTGAGGGTACTGTACAGGGAAAAAAACCAAACAAACTAACACCACACCTTTCTTTTTCTCTTTTATGGTTGAAAAGACATGGAAAAGATCTCTCACCACAAGTCTGCAAGAGCATAGCAGTAGCACTACTCATATTTCATCACACACAAACAGTTTGAAACATGGGAAGTAAATGGAAAACAACATTTTTGAAGCTGGACTGGTGTCAAGAATTACCTTTCAAAACCATTTGCTGTATTTTTTAAACTTGCCACATGAAAAAACAACAACTTCGAATCAATTACAAACACTCCTGCAGACTCATTAGCTCCCGTAGACTTAATTTTCCAGGGTACCAACTGCTTTAAAGTAACAGTGCTCAGCACTTCTTAGGAAGACACAGAAAGAATCATTTGATCAGAGAGTTCTTTCCAAGGCAGGAAGGGAGAATTCCTATTGTCTAACCTCCCTGGGCAAAGAAAAGGGAGGTTGAAAGGAAAAAACATGTCAGGAAAAGCAATCTGAGGAGCTGAGAACTTCCAAGGTATGCATTTCCTAAGTCATATCCATCTTTCCATGTGCTGTTAGGTACTCAGATGCCCTTATGTATACTGGTTTGTACCTACAAAGATGCAAAGCAAATGTGAGAGATGTATTAAATGTGGAATTATTCACTGCTTACTTCAAATTTGTTCCTTGGGGAACAGCTGAACTAGCTCTACTGTGGCTATTACAGATAGTTAAGACAGAAGATGGCTCACCCATTGGCTCTGTTATAAACTTAGGCTTTGAACTAAAAGAAAAAAAAATGAAAAAAATATTTTCTCAGTGTATTTCACTTGATTTCAAGTGAAATCACAATGCTGCTCAGTCAGGTTCTGGCTAAAAATAAAGACACTGGAGTTCCCAGTGCTGTGGACTTCACAAAGGTTAAATGCATTTTTAATCTTGATAATACAAAATGAGTGTCACAGCCTCACTGAAAAGTCAAATTCTTGGAGACCAACTGAGCTGTTTGCAAAGCCAAACACGATGTAACTTTTTGCAATACACTTTATCATAGTTTTGTTTCTCTGAGGAGAACTTCATATCTTTTATCAGAGAAAGTCTGGCCTTAGGCAAATGAAAGCAGGAAAGTCAAATCCTGATCTCCTTACCCATTTCTCTGGATATCCCACTGCCTTCACTGGACAGGACACCTCAGCCAAAGCTTATGAACGTTACTGCATCACTTGTTTGTTTGGGGAAACGTGCCATGTTCCAAATCACTTCCACATCATCAATACTTTCAGCGCTACTTGCTGCTTGAGGAAAACAATCCTTCCTGGCAGGGAATGGGAAGGAAGCAGCATTACAATGTCTCTATTAAGAGAAATGGCTTCCAAAGGTGTCATGACAGTAGTTCAAGGGAAGGAGGACAGTGGAAAGGACGGAACAGAAGTTGACAGGAGCTCAGTGGGAGGAGTAGATCGGTACAGATGGATTTGTCTTTTGCCAGAAATGTGTTAAAAGCTTTTTTGACATTTCACAAAAGGATATATTACTATAATTCCTCTGTTTTCAGCACCTTTTCCCCCTGTATCCAAACAACATGCTTCAAACTTTGCTCCAAGTTATTCTCTGATTGGAGATAAGTGAATACCACCTATGGTAAGATAAGCAATGACCGAGCTCCTGGAAAACAAGTCACTGTGTGGCATGGTCCATATATTATTATATATTATTTATTAGTGGTCATTAAATTAATTGCTGTATCTGTAAGCAACAAACACAAGCTGATAGGCACCATCTGTGTGGCTGACAGGGCCAGGAACAACACACTACATGGTTCCCAAGGCACGGCAGCACCCTGCTGAGAGAGGGGTGGCTATTTTTTAACATAACATCTCAAACCAGTAATTACTTAAGAGGTTAACACACCTAGAAGCCTTTCAGACTGCTTCTTGATGATGAGTGAGATGCAATGGCGCTGGGAAGCTCATTGCCAGGGACAATGCTCTGGAAACCACCAGTGCCGAGGGGGTGGGTAGGTGGAAAGACCCGCGAAGGAACAAACGTCCCTCCGTCCCTGCTCTGAGCGCGCCGCCACAGAAGGGCTTCGGTCAGGCTACATTCTGTTCTGACTTTTTCTTTCACTGTCTCCCCACCCAACTTCACACGAATTCTTATAGAGGTTATGTACAGACTTGTACAAAATGGAGACTGACACTGGCTCTTGGAGGGTTTCCCAGAGCAAGTTTAACTCAGATTATATAACACGTTACATCTGTGTTGGTTGGTTCGGGTTTTTTTTTATTTTTAATATAGATGTTATTATACTACTAGTCTATTCTTCCTAGCTTAACCCTCCAACCACCCTTTCAAACAGTTAATTATGTTTTGCAGAGATTAAAAATCTGAGGTTAGTATATGAGCTTTGTTTCCAGCCCTCACATAAGACAGCACAAGTGTGCTACAACTGGAGGGTCTCAGCAAGCCACAACCACCATTATTTTCCCTTCACACACACCACGATGAAGGTCATGAAGGGGGATCTTTAACTGATGTAACAGTGGAATTTTAGAGCTAACACAGAACTTTACTTTTATATTCTATTCTTTAATCAGAAATCTCAAAGTGATCTGCACAGCTTGGTCTCAGCTTCTGTGGTTGCGTCCCTTCTTCCCAAGACAATGCATTAGGATAAATCCAGCTTAAAATTATAGGGCACTTAAGGATATTGACTATTCCCAAAAAATTCAGGCTAAGTCCAGTCCTAACAGCACTGACTGCAAGACATAAAGCCCACCTTTGTGCAAAACCATCTCCAAGATGCTCTTCCTGTTATTGTTGCTGCGGGTTTTCCTTCTTCTCCATCTCATTGTTTTTCTTGTGGAGTTCAGAAACAAACAATGAGCAGACTTTGAAGAAAGGAGGAAACTGTCCACACGTTTTCTACTCCTCTCTCTTCCTCCCTGCTTTTTCTTAGATTTTTATTCTCCCAACATATCCTCTTCTCATTGAGAAAAGGGGAACATTTCCCCTCCTCCCTCATGATACCTCTACTAGATACTAAATTTTCTGAAAAATTCAGAAGAGAAGAATCTATGTCTTACCTTTTTCTACTGAAGTAATCTCTGCCACCTTCTATACACCTCAAGTGTCTGAGAGAGTCAAGCTCCAGAAACACATCTGCTAATCCAGTGCTGATGGGGTTAATGAGATCAAAGAGAGATTCCACTCTGTGCTTAGCAGTGAGACACTTCCTACCACAGGGCCAGGGTCACTGTAGCCCTCCTCCAGCTCACCTAAATCAGCATCAAAATAACACAAATCAGCCCCTACTGTGATTAGAATCAGTATTCCCACTTTCTGTCTCCTTCCAACTCCATCAGCCCCCTCACCTCTCCACATTAAAATCAGACAGTGATTAATTTCGGGGTAATTTTCCCAAATCACATGTTTATTTTCAAGCATGCTCTCTATCTGTTCTCCTCTCCCGCCCTCCCCTCACCATCATTAATCAGTAAGGGCTTCACGTGCTCAAAGCAGGAGCTTACCTTCTCACCCAGCAGACAAAGTGATCCCAAAATTCAGCTCCCCAACAGCCAAGTAGGTAAAGAACAGCTCTCCCAACATCTTCTCTTAAGTCTCCCTGGCAAGTGCAGGAAGGGGCCTAACAAAGCTGTATGCAGCCAATTGTGTTATCAAGGCACTTGGCACTACCAGCTGATCCTTGATTACTATTCATCCCTCGGGAAAATAAAACACCCTTTTGTAGTAAAAGTGTAACCGGTTACTATGATGCATTACACATCAACAAAAGCAGCTTTTTACCAAAATTACAGATGATGAAAGCCTGGAAGCGGAATCAGACCAAGGTAACCGGTTGTTTCTACATGTTTCAGATAGAAAGCTGACAGTTTAACCAAGATTTTTACAGTGCTAGGAAGAAAGTGGTGGGTGAGCTATGTCACATATCTGTACAAAAAAAGGGTGGAGAGTTCCATGAAACAAATTTTAAGACTGATGTTTTTCTCCTGTAGAGACCTTTCTGGTGCAGCATCCTAGGTGTGCTACTGCCAGCACTGTAGTAACCTCAATTTTCACGAGGTCTTGAACATTTTTAACAGGTGTCTCTGCCATTTTTGTACTTTTCTTGAAGCAATATGCTTTCATATTTTTCTTTTTTTTTTTTTTTTTTTTTTTTTTAGCCTAAAAGAACTGCTTATTAAAGAGCACAGTTATCTGCAAGGCAGACTATGCACTAGGTAGAAGGGTAGAATTTGCTGGCTTGGTGGAATAATCCCTACTTAGGTGGTGAGGAAGCATTCCAGAATATTAAAGGATTTGTTTGTTTGCTAATCTACTTAAGCACCCATAGGCTTTAACACCCACAACTTGTGTGCTTTAGGGATCTTTCATGTCCGTGGCCACTCTCAGTGCAACAGCTCTGCATTAAAGCTGCAGGTTTAGACCCGAGGCAGTGCAGCAAGCTGAGGATGGGACACTCACCTGCAAAGAGCTGCATGGCTTTGGTCCAGCCACCCACCAAATCCTTCTCTACATCTCTCACAGGCACTGTTTGTTGCTGCAGCAGCACACACAAATCATTCTGCTGCTTGCATCCTGCACTCTTGCATCCAACCCAACCAACTCTGGGGCAAGACAGCAACCCAAGCACCATGAAACCCCCTCACACGTCCTGCAAACAAGGCTGTGTGAACACATTTCACACCCTCAGTTTGGGGAAAACTCGCTGACAGAGAAGGGGGGTAGCTTTAAGCAGCATTAAGCAGAGCAGGCTTGATGTAAGCAGCTGCCCCTGTGTGAAATTTGAAGCTCTTGCCAGCAGTGTGGAGGAAAGACATGACCTCATTATTCCACAGCCCAGATAATCCGTTCCTGGATAAAGTGAGAGCTGACAAGTGTTTCACCTTGAAGGTTATCAAAGCCCTTTCCACACTTGGCTGATGCAGAGCCATTTTACCCAAGAGGGATGTGAAAACTCCTCTGTATTGGTAAAGAAGATAAAAAAATCAGGGGGTGTGTGGTTAAGAGCACCTTGCCATCCCACACACACACAGGTATTGAGAGGAAGATACCAATGGCATTTCCAGAACCATTTATGCAAACAGGATATATTTGCACAAGTTGATAAAACATTTTTCTCAGTATTTTGAGAGTTGCTGCTCTCAATTCCTTTCATCTACCTCGAGGCACTTTCTCTAGATAAGTGCTTAAGGCCTCTCTTGACATCAGCTGCCCCTTCAGCACCTCCAGAAAGGTAGTTTAGCTCTCAGCCAGGATAAATCACTCTCTGGACCATCTTCTAGTATCTTTCCAATGTTTGCCAAGAGTGATTCTACTCCTCTCATCTTTCAGTTGGATGAACCCAAGCTCTATTGCCATGGATTTTACACAGGCACGTGCAGACAACACACTAGCCTGAAATTTTGTTGGAAGGAATCACAGAATCATTTAGGTTGGAAATGAACCTTTAAGATCATCCAGTCCAACTGCTGGACCCACAATCCGTTTGAGCAATGGCTCCACACTAGTTCAAGGGGAAGGAATGTCATCTGGTTGCCATTGCCTCCTCTTGCAACACCTGCGCTCTTGCTGGAGGCCTGCCACGCAAACACAGAGCGGGGCTCCTCTCTCCCCCTCACCACAGAGAAAACACACATCTCCTTCTCCTAGCAGGGCTCTGGAGCTGTTGGATTTAAGACTGCAGGGAAGAATGACACCATTTAAAATATTTAACACACAACGTATAAAGCCCTGGTGAAAACGCAAGGCTACAGAGAAGATTAATGAATGAACAGGTAGCAGAAACAGCAGACACAAACCCCAAGATTAGAGGTAGGTTTCAATTGGAATATGTGTCTTCCAGATGTTAACCTGCCATGCAAAACATGCCCAACTACAACTGCAATCCTACATGCCTCTTGCACCTACTCCCTCGGGAAAGCTCCTTATCAAATCGCACACATTACATCAGCTATGGTGTTTTCCTTCATGCCAAAGAAAATAAAAAAGGCACCAGCAAAAGCAAAAGATTTTGGGGTTCGTAGGAGACAAAAATTATTGCAATTCACTGCAACTAGAACAACAATATTAAATACAAAAGGGTCACAATGTAAAAACCAGTTTTCCAAAAGTACCTCTGCTCCCCCAGCAAGCCACTTCCCATGGCCCTGACTGCATCAGCACAGGAGTCATCTTAAAACTCAGAAGGGTGAGGAAACACATTTAGTTTTATCCCAACTTTGGGATCACAGGAAGCAAGGCAAGTACTTTATGCCTGCTTTTCACTAGTTCTCCCAGGGGCTTTTGCCAAGGTTGCGACGGTGGGTGCCTGCCTTCCAGGCACATGCGTGACTCCATCTTCCAGGTACAATTCCTCCTTAGTTCTCTCCTAGCTACCACTAGATATTGGGATACCACAACCCCCAGGCACTGGCATTTCTAGTCCTGGCAATACTGTTTCACCTACCCATCAGTTGTTTTCTCTGGCAGAGCCAGGAACAAACAAAAGCCTTCAGGGTGAGGCCTCACACTCACCTGTTGCAAGAGGGAGAGACAGTTCTGCCCACAAACTTGTGGTGTCCATCACTGAACTTCATCTTCCTGGGCAAAACACCAGATTTACACTTTGGCTTCCTCTTTCCCCCTCTCCACACCCCATCAGCAGAGTTTGAGGCCTCCTTCACCAGGAAACATCACCCTCAGCCTTCCTGCAGCACTAATGGATGGATGCTCAGTTACAGGAGCATTATGTTTGGCACATGCCCAGTTTCCAAAGGGGAATCACCACACTCTGACATTTAAAATGAGTAAAGAAGCTAAAAGGAAAGAGCCAGCATACACAAACCACAAAAAAAATCCACTTTAAGGACATAATATTTGAAAGGGCTGACAAGTCTAAATTCAATGATTTTGAAAAACCACCTTTGAAAACGATCTTTATTCTGTCCCTGATGTTTTCCCTCGCACCTGAGCTGAGTAAACTGTTCTGCTCTCATTCAGAGACTACAGGAAAACTACCCACAATAAACTTCATTCTTTTTCCAGGATTAAGAATTGTATATTGTACGTGCAGTGAAAATCTGTTTTGTGCATTAAGGAGAACACAGGACTGATTTTTTAATTTTTTTTTTTTTTAAGTGAAGACATTTTTGCATTTTGATAATAAATATTCTCCTGGTCATTTTTGGCAAACCTGTCAAAAGACTTTTTATGCCATTTTGCAAGATGTTGTCATTGGAGGAAAAAGGTAGATTTTTGTATTTAAACAAAATGTGCCTGAAACATTGGAAAGCTTGATTTAAAGGTAACAATTCTGCAACTCAAGCAGTATTTGGGCCAAAAACTGGCTCCAAAAGATAATAGCAGGCAGCAAAAAGACTCCGTTTCTAAAGGACGTAAAGAAGTCTAGGAAGTAAGTCTCAGTTAAAAAGAGGATGGGAGAAAGATAGATGTTCTTCTCAGATGCCTTCTGCTCACTGAGGCTTGATCACTTTATTAAAATAACATCTCATAGAAACACCCAAACAACAACAGTGATTAACCCAGCAGATGAGAGAACACCCCTCTCTTTGATTCACTCTGCAGCACAGAGGTGTTCAGGCTTATACAGCCTCACACTGCAAGAGATTTGATTCAGAGCCAAGGCACGATGTGTTCAGTAAAACACGCTGTGAAAAGTTCAGCTCTGAGCTAAAACCCACTTGTTTAAATGACAGGCCAATGGGAGATGCCTCTGGAGTGCTCTGTCCTACAGTGCCCTCATCAGTAAGTTCCAATGAGAGGCTCAGGGTGCAAAAGCTCTCGCCAAATTGGATTATGAAAGGACTACAGTGATGGTGCGTTTTGACCAAAAATGAATTTTTGGTTATTTTTTCAGAATTCTGACAAGTGGGTTTCAAGTTGCTAGTCCATGATAACGGCGTTCTGTCATTAGGAATGAGATGGGGAGTCATTGTACCTTTCTTTAAATCTCAGTTTATCAGTGGCTTGGGATGGACTAAGATCCTGAGCGGTGCCAGACTGGCAAAGTTTTCCGAACAGAACTTTTGGGAGCAACAGACACCTAGGGACTTCAAAAATTTGTCATCGCCTACGTTTTTTCTTTAAGAATACCTTACTTTAAAAAAAAAAAATCAAAAAACAAATTCCACAAGCCCAAGGAAAAAAAGGGGATCTTCCTGCATCCAAAATCGCTTCAGGCATGTAGGTGTGTATCACGAGATTTGGTACCACAGATGTGGTACCATGCGGGTGAGAGGATAAACATTTGCAGGGATGGGGTTTTTTCCCAAGGCACAAACAACAGACGTGGGCCAGCCTTCTGTCCTAAATGTCCTAAAATTCAACGTGCAAAATTCCCTCTGATGGCAGCAGGAGTCCACAAATGGAAAGGCCAGCCAGCTCCTACCTGCCTGTCTTGCAGCTTCTCAGTTCACATTCATGCCTTGGTGCATGTTCCCAATAAATCTGAGCACTTCCAAAGGACTGGCCGTATAGTTTTGCTACTCATATAGAGCATCGCAGAGTGTTACTTTTAGGCTACAAAATTACAAACAGAATTCACTATTGGCAGTAAAAACTGCAGTCTCTCTTTCCTCCCTTCGGGAACAGACACCAGAGTAAAGTGCCAGGGGATAAAGGTATGGCATTTAATTTTTGGAAACATCAAAAATGTAATGGTTGTGATAAATGGTTCACATCCTGAACTCCAAGTTGGAGTACAGAGAATTTAGAAAAGAAGACTAAAGTAGCTTCAGTTGCAGTCTTGATCTCCAAGGCAACTTTTCCAGTTTATAATTTTCTTAATTCCCTCTGGTTTTGGACTATTAAAGAGACTAGCAATGAAAAAAAGAAAAAACCTGCACATACATCAGCTGAACTAAGTAAATGACCTGCTTTTCCTCATCCCTTAATCCTTGTCAGTGATGGTAAAATTAAATGCTAATTACAGAAACAATAGGTTAGCATAAAACTAATAGAAAAGTGGTCATTTAGAAATAGCAGATTTCTGTTTAAAAGCTACAAACTGTGTACAATGTGGAACTAAATAAGGAGAGGAAAAGCCATAACCCAGGTGAAGAAATTACTCTTTAAATTTCATACTGATAAATAAATAACGTAGAAATACCTCTTTGATATACAAATTCCTCATAAAATTATATAAATTTCTAAATAATTACATACAGAATGGCTGCAGGAAAGAAAAGTCTTCAGAACCATCAATAAACAAACCCCAAAAAATAACCTTACCTAAAGCCTGAAATGTCATTTCTTGTTTACTTCAACAAATGAAAGGAGGATTTGAATAAATTTTTGACCTGTAAATTCTTCTACTTACCTGCAAAACACCAGGAAAACACAGAATTACCCACTGAATTTTAGGTTCTTGTCACTTTTTTTTTTTTTTTTAATTTTTTTTTAAGGTTTGGATTGGTTTTGGTTTACCTTTCCCTTTACTTTTTATGTCTGGAATGGAAAAGCTCAGTCTTTCTGTTGTGGGGAAAAAACCCTGGATATCAGTTTGCTTAACTGCATTTCATCCTGAGTGCAAGAGCAGAGAGCCCACAAGGACCTGTCACCGTTTCAAAAGACAACGTAACAAAGAAATAACTCGAAAAGATTTTATCCATCCTCCAAGTATTTTGTGGTCATTTGTAACAGTTTTTGCAAGGAGGTTTTCTTATTCATTAATTAGCATTCTTTAAAGTGGCCAGCTTTAAATTACCAATCAACATTCCTATTTATTTTGATGGAAACAAACATCAGAAACAAAAATCTTTCGCTGTGGGTTCAGGTTAGTCAAGGGATGGACGGTTTTTAGGGTGCCTACTTGCCAGTATGTCTGAACAGGAGTTAGTTAAGACCAAAGATAAATGTTTGGCCGTAATCAATCAGGATACTTCAGCTTTATCTCGGAAAGCCTGTTTGGCAGCTTTGTTGGAGATCATAAATCAAAAGAGTCACAATAATTTTCAGCATTTTTTGTAGAGAGGCCACTCCCCAGGTCTGTGCCTCACTGGGATGGTCCCTGGGATTAAACTGTGGCTGAGGCAGGAACAAATGAAGACAGTAATGGCACTTGTTGGTTCTCTCTTTAGGGCCAAGAATCCCCCAAAAGTTCAGAATTTGATAATTTTTTTTTATACGCGGATATACACTGAGATAAACTAACTTAAATCAGCAATCTTACTACCTGTAAAATGCAGTTTATACCACTGAGATGGTAAAATATGGAGTTTAGGACAATATCTATTACACTCAAAACTTCCACGCAGACTTCTATTACAACAATTCTGCATTTAATTAACTTTAGATACTCCACTCACAGTACAAAATTCTTTGGCTTCTGACAGCTTTATGAAGGAAATTTGCTATTCACAGTGTGTGTGAATTCGTGTGTGTATTAAAGCGTGTGCAGTCCACTCTGCTGCTGATAATCTGCATAGAACTGGATTAACGAGTCGGGAATCCTCGGGGTCACGACAGTCAGCGCGCACCGAAAGTGCCGCCCCATGATGGACTGGGCATGGATGTCTTCCTGGAGAGCCAGAAGAGCTGCTTCTCTACAGACTGCTGTTATCTGCAAAGAAACAATAAACACAACCACATAGTGTTATTATTATTATTATTATTATTATTATTATTATTATTATTATTAAATATATTACTTGAAAGGAAGAAAGCAAACACAAGATCATCAACACACTCCAAATGCCAGATACCGACAAGTAGAGCTTTTCCAACTTTTTTTTTTTGTTTAATAAATGAGGTTGTGGGTGATTAGGACATCCAAGAAACAGGATATAGCTCGAAATTCAAACCGCAGTAACATTACCTTTCATATTACAGCATGTTGCAAATTAACTCGCTAATCGTATTGCCCTGTGTTAAACTCCCCACAACACCTGATAAATTCAAACCCCAAACACCAGCCACACGTTTTTTTGGTCCCCAAAGTGCAAGAGCAGATATTCCCAGGCTCTGTGGGCACTTTTCTTTCTCAGCTTCACACTGGGAAAGAAGTAAAAACAATTAATTCCGAAAGGAAGGCTCGAAGGAGACGGGTGTGTGGAAGGGGAGGAGGGTTAAGGTCTCATACCCTGCAATGTGTTTTTAAGCTCTCTGGACTTCAGACAGCGGAAACAGACTGATGCCAGTGTCACTCCAAAGACACATTACTGTGGTGAAAGGAGCTTGTGGAATGAAAAGAGATATTGTGATTTCCAGTGCAACAGGGAAAACAGTGATTGATATTGACTGCTGCCTTATATCTGTAAATGAAAGAGCCAGCTGAAACACATTTGTCCGGCTATTCAGCATATTTTCTCTGTTTGTTCACTTACTGAAAGGAGTTCCCCCGCTTATGCTCTGCTAATGGTTGCCAAAGCCGTTTAGTAGCTTTTTAGGGGATTTAGCAGCATGTTTAGGAAGCTTTCACAAGAAAACATGCATGGATTTAGATGGCTTTGTCAAGTTACAACAATATTACTATTAGTTCTGTGCTGTTCTAATGAGCAGCGAAGCTAAACACTGCTGTTACGCATTTTAATGCTTTTCAGGACTTCAGAGACAGCCCAACACGGAAGAGTAGCTGAGATTTAGTGCAGCAGCTTCTTGTGGAGATAAGGAATACATCATCCAGAAAGTTAACCTTGGTCTTTCCGTGCAGGCTTTTCCCCAGGCAGACAGTGTGACTGTGTCCCCACCTCTAACACAAATGTTAAGCTACTTAAAGAAAAAGAAAAAAAACCCAACCCCCCGCCCTCCCTGCCTACCACTCTTTCAAAAGACTGTGGATGGAAAAACAGATCCCAAGCATCCTGGGCTCTGAACCCCTCTTGGTATTCAAAAGAAGGGTCCATTTCCCCTTGATAAATACTGCAGTAAGGACAAGTTTTCCACAAAATGAAGAGACCTTTATTAAAAAAACCAAACCCAAATGCAGTACAGCAGGTTTTGACCACCCTGTTCTCTCTGAGACCATCACCCACCCACAGCATCAAAATGATGAAGCAGGGTGTCACTAACAAGAGTTGCTAGGAGCTGCTATGTTTTACCGGAGGAGAAGCTGAAGGAAACACTACCAAGTTGGCAAATCCAAAAACGAAAGGACACCGCTGTCAGTCTTATTTCTTCCCATTTCATTTGTACAGATACACCCAGGAGGAATTTGCCCATAAGCTCATAGTTCTGGTGATGCTCTCATGTTTTCTCTATGCTCTGACAACACTGTTGGTAGTAACTGTGATGATAATTAACCTCCAAAGGATTTTTTTTGTTTTAATTTTATTCCTAAAGACCGAACCATAAATTCTGTGATAACTGAAAACCACTAGGTGTGAGGAAGCAGCAGAAAACTAGATTGTCTGTGGCTTCTCAAAAGCATGTCAGATGTTTTTAAGGGACAATGAAAGAATTTTAAGGCATGAATTATTGTTCTCTCTTTTCTGGCTGCACTCAGAATTTTTGTGGACTAAATCTTTTATTGTTGAGCAATAAACAGCAGATATTATGGTACAGTGTTGAAAATTCGGGCCCTCATGTCCAGTCACAGAGTCACATGGTGTTGTTTCCATTCCTTGGCTAACCCAGAGGATCAGGTTTCTGAGGTAAGAGATTCAACAAGACAAGTTTGATTATTTTCCTTTGTACAAGTATGCAAACTATAAAAAAAACCCCTCCTCGCAAGCATTCTCACTAGCTGGTAAAGCTAAATCACTCGTGGAAAGCAAACACAAGTAGTGGTGTAGCCACAGTGACGTGAGAGTGAATTCATCTGGTGAAATCTGCCATGTTATTGGCCTAAGGTCACTGGTTTTTCACGGATATTTCTTGTCACAGTCACATTAGGACATTTCTTACCAGGTGGAGCAACTGAAGGGTTTTTAAATGTTATTTCTCTAGATCGGGTCAAGTGAGGCAAAGAGGGAAGGCAGCAGAAGGGGCTGACTGACAGCAAAGGAAGAAGACCTGCAGCTTTGCAGCAAGGTATGGATCATTCCCAGGCTTAGCAGCACTCCAAATCCAGAGGTTACATCTCGATCATCAGTTTTAAAGCCTTGCAACAGGCCTATCCTTGGTGAGTTTCTCCAATGACTTCCTTAAATCCTTTCTCCTTTTGGCCGCCACAACATCACACCAGGCCGTAGCTGTGTCCTTGGGTTGTTCGCAGTTCCTTTCCTATCACTGTGTTAGTGCTGAGATGATTTTTCTCAGAAAATTACCCACGCTGCCTCCAGCATCTTTTCCCAAGTGACCATACCGAATTTAGGTTGGATACTTGTGAATTTGAAGCCTGGGCGATTTTCTTTTTTCCCCATTGCATTTAGCAGCTTGCATAGCCTCTGCCTGCCTCTGTAAATGAATGCTGAGAGCCAACATTACCTACCTGCAAGGTAATTCTTAAAGAATTTCAAATACAAATACAAGAGATCACCATTTTTACCTTTTCAGTAAACCAAAAAACAAACAAACAAAAAAGACAAATAGAAGACCAGTCTTTTGGATCTCTGCGTGTTGTGAGGAATAGGAAAAATGTCCCAGACTTGTTCTAAAGGCAAAACTGCAGCTCGCTGTACGGAAGGACAAAATAGATATTATGACTGCATCTGAATACAGAGTGGCTTTCAGCACCCACTGCTAAGGCAGTAATGAAGACATGAAGTGATTGTCAGAAACAACAGTGATTACACAGCACCAGACCAGGCACCAGGTAATTAAGCTGTAACTACACTGTGGGTGCTACTGCAGCAATGAAGAGCCAGCCAGGTGGGGCGGAGTGCCACTGAACCTGCGAGTACCACAATATCCCCTAATTTGATCATTATTATCATTATAAATGAAAGATTAACAAATAGAATTCGCATTTTCAATGAAGTGAGAGCAAGTTACTGAGCTATGCATTCATCTGCTGTCTGCAGTCATCTGTTAGCGTGAGAATAATTTTGAATTCATGTATGAAAAACAGTATATTATTTTTTTTAGAGGACTGATTTATCATCTGTAGGAGTGCTTTAAGATCAGAAAATAAACAACTTTTAGAATCCTGCTTCAAAGTCAAAAAGACAACAGTACCAAGCTACCCTGGGAGGGAAGGAGAATTAAAATTTGCTGTCTGAACCACACACACACAGATCGGTAAGAAGCGAAGCCACACACAAGCTCACAGCCACAGTGCAGACCATGATGAGTCCCCAGAAGATGTGGATTTACACCTAGTCGTTCCCCCCTTCCCCATTTCACTCCCAGCAACAATAAAACGCCCGGCACCAGTTTCTGTTCCCTGAATAAACAGCATTCAGCATAACCCATCTTTCTCCCGAAACCAATGGTTACATTGGATGATTCAGCCCGGCCGATTCTTCCCCATTCTGGCATTAAGCACCAACTCTTTCCCGTGGACTGAAAGTCCTTTTCAGCTTCTTTGTATTTAAAGTGCTCTAAATAGCTTTAAAGAATCTTAAAAAAAAAAAAAAAAAAGGGAAAAAAAAAAAAAAAAAAAAAAAAAGAAACGAGCTTCTGTGTTAAAGCCTTAGGTATTTTCAAGAAAGTGGTTTTGTTAGCGCCGAGTGTGCTGGGAACACCTGTGAATGTGGGGTTTAATTGGGCTTGCAGCTGGTGTCGATTGTGTGCCCCGTAACTGGCAGCCACTGCCTGGCTGTACATTGTGTTTCATTTTCCTTTTTCCTTCCTTTTTAACTTGCTCCTCCACCCCGCCAGTTAAAGTTGTAAGGGATTGTGTGTGTAAGAGGGATTAGGAGCCTGGAAACAGAATAGTACCCTGGGGGTTGTGAATAGCACAAATTGGGGCGCTTCCTGGATGAAAACTACCTGCGAGGCTGAGCGCCCATGCGGTGCCCGCCTGCCAGGCAGCCTCAAAGGGAGGCTGGGGAGAGGTTTGGGAAGTTTGCTCAGTTAAGGAGAGATAAAAGCTTCATACATGGGAGCTTTAAAAGGACATGAATAACTCCTGGGTCAGGACATCTGTTTCTCACTCAGGCAAATTCCTACCCGCGTCAGGCACCTCCTACCCCTGCGTCAGGAGCTGCTCTGTGAGAGCAATAGACACAAAAACAGGGAAGTTGGAAAGCTTTCAGGACTCAGGGCCGTCACCTGATTGAGAGAAAAGGTGGGCATGGATACCTCTCCAAAGTGAAAAAACAAATCAGGAGAAGATGCTCCGCAGGCAGAGAGTAGCTGGGAAAGGTTGCTGGCTGTATTCTAAAACTGACATAAAAAATTCAATGCAACTCCAGCAGCGCACAACTTCCCACAAGGGATTTGCAGGAGGCTCAGTGCAGTGCTGGGCAGAGATGTAAATACCTCGAGGTCTGTGCCACTCCCAGCAGGTCACTCCTGCTCAGAGTGTGGGACCCCATGGCCCCTCTTTCCCCCTTCTCCTTTGTGCAGCCACCACCCGCTGCCGGCTGTGGCTCCCACCCCGCTCTTGTGCTGGCTCCGGCCTAAGCTGGCCCTTTCATTAACTGATTCAATGCACCAGACCATCAGAAAACTAATCCAGAAAATAAAAATAAAAGCCTTAGCTTGCTGCTGGGGTATTGAGGTGGGCTCACAGGGGGA